GGAACAAATAATGCTGACAATTTTTTGTTTAACATGTTTTCCTACACTACCAATCAAAAATTTGGGGTCAGTAAGATTTTTTTTAAATTTTTTTAATGAATACTTATTATATTATTGTGAGTATATTATTATGATTTCTAAAGGATCATGTGACACTGAAGACTGGAGTAATGGCTGCTGAAAATTAAGCTTTTTATTTTAATAAATTACATTGTGAAATATATTAAAATAGAAGATGTTTTACTGTGTTTTTGATTAATGCAACCTTGGTGAGAATAAAAGACATGTTTCAAAAACATTAAAACATCTTACCGATCCCACACGTAAGAATGTAAGCGCTGTCAGACCCCACAACAGCAAGTCAGTCAACATTTAGCAACCAGATGCCAACACATAAACCTACAATCGATCTGAAACCATCCTATGCAGCTACGCAGTTCCGGTTAAACGTCAAATTCGGGCTGTTTTTTTTAGCAGCAGGACACAGACCACATTGACTGGTCTCCAACAGAAGTGGACCCTTCCAGGTATTGACACGAATATTTCCCTATTACAACGCATTGTTTTCTGTGTTATTTACGAATGATGCAACATTACAAATGACGCGACTGAAACAGACATTCTTTAACTGTAACTAATGTTTAATAGAAACAGTTTTTAACACCGAAAGCTTGGTTTTAGGGTTTTCTATATAACGTCATACTGAGCTTTTTTACCTTTACAATACTCTACTTTGCTCATTCAGCCTCAGCATATCTGGCTGTTTTTTTCAGTGTGTTTTAAAGCGCCTCCTGTATTGATGCGTTTCTGGAAAACGCGCGCTAAACATTTGGGCTGTGTATACTGCGATGGTTACATTTAAGGGTACAGTTGTTAGGGAACAATAATATTTGGTTGCACACGTATTCATTTTAATTTACAATACAAAAACATAACACCGTTATTAATGTATAAAAATGCACTTGAAGTTGAACGCGAGTTGCCGTCATTTGAGTGACAGCTATGTCTGTGTGCTAGATCCATGGCGTCAAGTGACAAGGTCTCACAACTAGAAATAGTTTCTTGCTCATGTTGTGTGCGGGATCTTGGTTTATAGCTAGGAGGGGGTTTGTGTTTCTTTCCTTAAGTGCACTCTTGGAGACAAAACGTTCAAACTTGGGCCATTTAGTAACAGCTGTTTTTCACCTGCTTACGGTAGATTTAGGTAAAGAGCTTATTCTGGAGTTAGCAGAGCCCATTGAAAAGTCTTGGATCTTGTACTGCATTGGAACAATTCTCTCATTCTGCTGCTATTTTATTTCAGGGAACAGGCTACAAAAATGTCTTTCATATTTGATTGGCTGTACAGAGGATTCAGCAGTGTTACAATTATTAGGTAAAGTATCAGCCAGATACTGAAATACTGATGAACGCAAATCATAATGTAACTGATTTTTGTGCTCTCACAATCTTATTTCATTTTAGGACTCTATAATAAGTCTGGGAAATTAGTTTTTCTCGGATTAGACAATGCCGGAAAAACAACATTATTGCACATGCTTAAAGATGATCGACTTGGGCAACATGTTCCAACACTTCACCCTAGTAAGTAAAGTGAAACATTTTACTGTTTTAATATGAGGTGTATACATTTTGAAAAGAACATAAAGGCTTATTCTTACAAATTGAATTCTATGTATGTTGGAGTAACCATTGTACACAATGTACCGTATCTTGTCCTATCTACTACACTGTAAAAAAAATCTGTTTAACCATTTAACAGGATTTTACTGTAGCATTTTTACAGTCTTTTACCGTTAAATTCACGGTCATTTTTTACAGTGTAGCATCTGAAGAACTGACTATTGCCAGGATGACTTTCACAACATTTGACTTGGGTGGTCATGCTCAAGGTAAATATAGCATTTATTAATAAATGGTTAATAAATTTGGAATTTAAATTTCAGAATAAAAAAAAATCACTACTAGATTTAGATTTTTTTTTTTTTAATTAGAAACTACGTTTAGAAACAAATTGTATAAGAACCTTGTACACAATGCAAATTTATTTATCAATCAATTTTCTATTCTCAATTCTCAGCAAGAAGGGTTTGGAGGAATTATCTTCTGGCAATAAACGGGATAGTGTATCTTGTTGACTGTGCTGATCATGAACGCCTACTAGAAGCCAAAATTTAGTTGGATGTAAGTCTACTTTTTTTAATACAATCAAGGGTTTTGTTTATGACAAGATATATATCAATGAATGTTTAACTATGAACACATCCAAACTCTCAGAAAAAAATGATACAAAGTCGTCAGTTGGGCAGTACCCTAAGGTACAAAAGCTAAAAAGTACATCTTCGAATCTTATTTACCCCTAAATATTAGTTCATATTAGTACTTTCAAAGTACATAGTGAATGTTTTGTACATTTGTTTGAGAGAGCAGAGGAATATCACCTGCACTGACTTCAGTGCACTAATTTAAATTTCTTCCCAGTCCCACCAATCAAAACACAACCATGTATTTGAGTAATAATGAGGGCACGTTGCTCTTTAATCATAGGCCCTCTTAACTGATGAAACCATCTCCAATGTGCCAATCCTTATTTTGGGGAATAAAATCGACCGTCCAGAAGCAATTAGTGAAGACGTACTGAGAGGAATGTTTGGTCTTTATGGACACACCACAGGAAAGGTAGATCATTGCGGGAATATATTTAAGACATTTTGTGTTGTGCAGTATATGTACTATGTAATACAATGAATAATATTTGGAGCATTACATGTCCTTTTATCTCTCACAGGGGAATGTATCACTGAAAGAACTCAACCTGAGGCCAATGGAAGTCTTTATGTGCAGTGTGTTGAAGAGACAAGGATATGGAGAAGGTTTTCGATGGCTTTCAGAGTATATTGATTAACTTACTCAGTGTTTATTAATTCAAAACCCATGTATCTTTATTTATTAATTGATTATTTATCTTGTAACTAAACTAGTAACCAGGGGTGTTTCATATATACAGTGGTGTGAAAAAGTTTTTGCCCCCTTCCTGTTTTTTTAATTGTTTGCATATTTGTCACACTTAAAAGATTCAGATCATCAAACAAATTTTAATATTACACAAAGATAACCTGAGTAAATATAAACTGCAGTTTTGAAATTATGATTTCATTTATTAAGGGAAAAAAGCTGTCCAAACCTACCTCCCTACGTGAAAAATTATTTGCCCCTCCTCTTAAATCATGAAAGAACTGTGATTAAGCACATTATTTTAGAAAGCTGAGTTAAATTTCACTAGCCACACAACTCAGCTTTCTAAAATGATGTGGTTAATCATAGTTCTTTCATGATTTAAGAGGAGGGGCAAATTTTTTCACGTAGGGCCAGGTAGGTTTGGACAGCTTTTTTCCCTTAAATGAAATCATCATTTAAAAACTGCATTTTGTATTTACTTGCATTATCTTTGCGTAATATTAAAATTGGTTTGATGATCTGAATCTTTTAAGTGTGACAAATATGCAAACAATTAAAAAAACAGGAAGGGGGCAAAAACTTTTTCACACCACTGTATATATATTTGAGCCTATAAAATCCAGTGTGGTGATAGAGAAGTATCTGAGAAACAATTAAAATCAAGCTACAGTAGCAATTACTTATGTAAGTCATGTTTACCTTAGCAGTAGTTTATGCTGTATGCCTTTTCTAAAAGCAGGGATAGAAATACAGTTTGCTTTAACAGTTGACTGAGTTGGGTTATTTTAAGAGATGGCATTCAGTTACAAAACACTTTTTTTCAATCCAGTGTCAATTTTATACCATGAGAAAGGTAAACATACCATTGAACATTTGAATCAAGGACTTTTAATCAGGGGAATATCACTTGTGCTGTGAAAATTCTGATGTGAAATCATCAGATGATACAGAATCAGTGTTTTTGTTTTCATGTTACATTACCTCAGTGCCTTAATGTCGGTGCTTTTTTCTAGCTCTGTAGCCTATTTCCCAGTTCAAAAGAAAAACTTCTGAAGTGATTTGGTGTGGATTGCCAATGTATACATGCTTATCAAAAGTACCTGAGATTTAAAATTAAATATATATCTAATATTTAAAAGTACAAGTGTTTGATTTGTATGTTGTATTTTGATACTTTTAAGACTGTGCTTATGTAGCACCCAGTGCCAGTGATGTGTCTACATTAGCCTGTTTCAACACTAAACTACCTGTGCAATGAGTACTTTTTGACTGTCATCTGTGACTTATTTGCAGTTATGGCATGAGAGTACATAGGCTTTTTAAATTCATAGAATATGCCTGTGCAATAGAAAAATGTGTCATATTACTAGGTCACTTTTACCCTTGTAAATAGGCTTGTGTGAAAGGATTGGGATTTTCAATGCTGCTTATCTTTTGAAATGGCTAATTATGTACATACCACTTGTAGCATTTATGCACTGAAGTAAGCAACAAAAATAAAAAAAATATTTTGAATTTTCCGTTTATACTTTGATCTCAAAGGAATCATAAAGACATGTACCTATATGAATCGTAGAAAGCTATTTGAATAAACATTTTAAACAAGAAAACAATTGTGACATCCTGTGAAGTCAAAAAAGGTTATTTGGCAATACTAAATGAATACTTACCTTTGTGACGTTTGTGACGTGACCATTGGAATGAACAAGCATGTTGCACAAGAACACAGTCCAATGTATAAACGGCGTCCGATTTGTGAACGAAACTTTCTTTGGAGTTGGATCTTTTCAATGAATCCGTTGAACCGGTTAATGTCTATAGTCAATTTGTTTACAAATCGAACGGAACGACTCGTTCACGAATGATTTGACGCGAGAAACGTCTCTTTCGGACATAACGAATCATATTTTTATGTCTGTGATAACGGCGACGTAAAAGAACCACTGAACCGGTTCTATTAAACGAATTGTTCGAAAGAGTCGGACTTCCAAATATAACATGGATAAACGCTTCATCGACCACGTGATTACTTTTACGCCAATGAAATCATACCAGGAAGCGCTGCAGATGGATCAAATCGGCGATAAATTAATATAGATATTATTAAATTATCTAGCCGGTCAGAGGTATTCGTTGCAACCCTAACTAGTTGTTATTGACAAACTGTTTGTTAGCATGGTGTTCTTATTTATAATTTGACCTCCAGCGCCGCGTTGACATTTCTATCTTGAACTCATTGCAAGATGCGAGAACACTTCTACTATTAGCATAAAAATTGTGACCATTTTGTTGAACCAATTTAATACTGTTATATAGACATATCTCTATATATCTAACGTTTGAAAATGAAGATTGCGGAAGAGGCATGTTGTGTTGTCACAGTGTCCGAGAAGCCGCTCAACCTCACATCTGGATCTCCGAATAAAGAATTGAGCTGTAGTGGAGTGTTTCTGAATTACCAGTCTGGGATTATAGTCTGTAGTGGCATTTTGTTTTCACGCTTTATCAATGATAGACAGTCCATGAAGAAAGACGCGAAAATATTGCATTCTGAAAGTTTCACTAAAGAGATAAAAGTGCATGTAGATTACATTCACGTTTGCGCCAACCAGTCGTGTGTAACGGACAGACGCAATACGAGCCGTCAAGAGGCTCATCTGTTAATGATTATCAATTGTGTGGAGTTTCAAGATGCATTTAACAAAATCTTCAAGGGGGCTGATAACTGGGGCTTTTATAGTGGTACTTTGGATACAGAAGTTCTGGAAGACTCCAGATTTTTAAGTTGGTTTGCACTTTTAAAAGTGCCCACTTCATCCACATGCACCTGCAAGGAAACTATTCCATGGGTGAAGAGTGGCAGTCTTGAAAAGGGATGTCATGTCATCGCATGTGGGTCTCCATTCGGTGGTCTCTGTCCAGACCTCTTCATGAACACAATTAGTAAAGGTATAGTTAGTAATCTGGCAGGAGCTGAGAATGCCCTGATCCTGACTGATGCCCGCTGCTTGCCTGGCACCGAAGGAGGCGGTGTGTTTGTTAGCAAAGGAGGCAGATCTTACCTAGTGGGTTTGATCGTTTCACCACTGTGCTGGAAATCAGATGAATGGATTGGGCTGACACTTGTGTGCTCTGTTCACCTGATTCTGAAAAACATGCTACAGGCTGGTGCCATCCAGGAGCCGCTGATAGAAGAGTCATCACAGTTAATCACTGGCTCTCTTCAAGCTCCATTAACTGCAAACCGAAGGACAGGCTCTGAATTTTACACTGGAGTTGCCCTGATTGAGACCGGCCAGCTGTGGGGTTCTGGTGTGCTGCTAAACCAGAATCTGGTTCTGACCTGCAGGCATGTGGTGAATGAAAAATCTGTGCTTACAGTCAGGGTCAACTTTGGAGGAAGGTACTGACATTTTGTTTGTTGATCTTTGTTGAACTTGTTGCATGTTATTGGTATTGTTATATTTTTAATTACCATGGGATTTATAATAATATCTAAACTTTCCACCTCAGATTTCATACAGTAAGTGGTAAGGTGCTGTATTCATCAGTACCATCATCTCCCTATGATATCGCTGTGGTGGAGCTTCAGGAGCCCCTCGCAAACTCAGTAAATACACCGTTTACCACATACTTTCACCCAGGTAATGTGCTGCAAACCTGTTGTATTAAAACTCATATTTAGCCATGTTCTGAGATTTTGGTGTGATTTTTTTTTTCTTTTTCTTGTGGATGTCTAAAGCCACCAACATAAGACAAGACAAATATTTGTTCCTTCCAGTGTGTGTTGGTTTATATGTGCGATAACTTCATATCCAAATATCAGGTGGTTTTGTATCCATGTTGTATTTGGTTGTTGCATACACCAACAATCAACATGGTATTTGACACTGTATTTTATATTTAACCCTTTTAAAATACACAACAATCAACATGATTTTTGACACTATAAGTATATTTAATATTAAACCCCTTTTCTTTACATACAAAATAGACCTTTGGAAGAACTTATTTCTGCCACATAAGAAAAAAAAACATGCTTTGGCAAATCATAGATCAGATAATAAACCACATGACACATTAAGTCATGATTATTAGATAAAACATTGAAATGAACAAGAAGTCTAAATTATGAGAAGTCATAATTATGAAATTATGACTTGTCATTATCACATGTAAGTCGAAATTATGACAAGTCATAGTTATGATGTCAATTATAACAAATTATAAAGTCAAATGATGGCATCATAATTATGACAAAAATTCTAAATTGATAAATTATGGCTTGGCGTTTCAACTTATAATTATGAATTTGTATCTCATAATTTTGACTTTATCTCCTATGACTTTTGACGTTTTGTCATTGACGAATTGCCAAAGCATGATGAACTAAAATTATTTGTGAATCTAAATTCTTGTTGACCATACATACAAGATATATATATATATATAAAGTCATCATTTAAATGTATTATAAATATAATAATCCATTTCAGTTTATATAACATATCATTTTGTAACTGTGTACTTTGTCCCTGTGCAGCACCTGGCATTTTCATGTTGTGTGTTTGTTTAGGTGAGGATGTGCTTGTTGTGGGTTATGGAGCTTTAGGGAGCAGCTGTGGCCCCTCGATGACCTCAGGGATCTTATCCAGAGTTATTACCCATCAGTCACAGCCTGTGATGCTGCAGACTACATGTGCTGTGCAGTCTGGAGCCAGTGGTGGCGCTGTGGTTCGTTCTGCCACTGGAGAATTGTTAGGTAATATCATTCATACATTTATTTTTAAACAGTTAGGAATTAATTGAAAAAGATTTTGTTTATCAGCACATCAACCAGTTGTCTGTAGAAATACAGTATTCACTGGAGATTGAAATATACAATACCTAATAATAACCAAAAGGGGGCACCACTTGACCAATTAAGCATATTTTCCTCTCTTACTGTCAGGCATCAGTGTATTCCAGCCCTTTTCTGCTGATAATGTTTGACTAAATCAGGTTTTCATAGGCAGATTTTTTCTCACATGATTTTTTAAAAATCTTATATATTCTAATATTAGGTATCGTGACCAGTAACACAAGAGACTTTGCCGCAAAAGTGACGTATCCCCATCTGAACTTCAGCATCCCAGTGACTGTTCTGGAGTCTCTGCTGAGACGTTTTGCTCAAACTGGAGATGCTGCTGTGTTTAAGGCCTTAGACAGTGCAGAGGATGATGTTAAGAAGATATGGAGACTACAAAGCATTCAGAGCAAGCTTTAATCATTCTCCAAAATAAAGCTGAATATGAATTTACATGAATTCCTGTGATTGTTTCCAAATATACAAGATGCTTTAGAATGAATATAACTACTAAAATGAATCTTTGTGTATTGTAAAGTTGCTGAAGATGTGAAAATGTTATTGAAAAATTATCATATGACATAGCTCTGTATTGACAATAAAATGGTGTATATTTCTGAGCTTCTTATTTGTGGACTTTTTAATGTACAATAATTTAACTTGACTGACTGATTTAAAAATCCACAAAAAAAGCCTGCACCCCTTAAACTGATTAAATATTCTGATACATGCAAGTAAACATAATGACTGGTCAATTTAAGTAAAAAAAAAAAAAGTAAAATTATTTCTAACCATTTTATGTTAATGCCTAGCAGTTTGCTGCAGTGCATCATTAATAAAAGAAATGCGTGCCAAAACTAAAACAATGCAGTGTTCTAACATTTTTTTCATCACATTTTTTTTTTTTTGTAAAATAGTTAGAAACCAGGGATGATGAGAAACCAAGGCTGAAAACTGGTTTCTAACTAGGTTGATGTCAAGCATGTTGCTACACTGGATCACTAATATATGAAATGTGTGCCAATGATGAAACTATGCAGTATTAAAATAGTGCGTTTTCAGATAATTAGAATTTCATCATGCACATTTTTTCTCTTAATGACAATAAGTGAATATTTGAAAGACGTGTTTATATCATGCCTTCTATTACAGTTAAAATATGTCTTTTTTTTAACCCTCTGGTTACTTGTTCGTCTTGAGAACCAGCTTTTGTTGGGTATTTTTGGTAGTTATTATAAATTGCACTTGTCAAAAAATGTGTTTAAAAGTGGGTTGAAAAGATTTGTTTTCTCATGTCTCCAGTGTCACATGAAAATTAGCACGTCACAGAGTCTTGGGAGTAATTAGGAGAACAAAGGAACAGCACTTTCGGGCCCAGTGCCTTTAATCATATTCAGGCAAGAAAGATGACACACTTGGACAAAGAAACATGCAACTAAATGCAAATATACTGCAACTCAGCGATGAAATCCAAGTATTTACAATAATAATGGCATGTACAGTACAATACAATCATACACTAGTCCAAGTGGTATAACATCACTGTTAGCAGACTCCTGTACACTGCTGAGTAAGACATCAGGACATTCACTATTGACTTTTAATGAGCGGGCCATCTTTCCATCACACCAGCAAGGTGTATCGCCTATGATAATCCACAACTAATTTAAATATCGTCAAGATTCATCTCAATGACATTTGGAGGATTCATTTTCTTCTGTAGATGACGCGGTACATTGATGAATGTGTTTACGTTGGGGATGTTACCATATAAAATGCATTTTCTCTTGCCTGTGTGGAACTTCGAAATCACGACTGAGTGAATTATCATACCAGACCGAGTCTGTAACTCATACATGTTTTACAGCATTTTAACCATAAAAACTGATGCTTTAGATATTTTTTACTGCAAGACTCATGTACTTTACCTTTAGTCGTAGATTTTACGATTCAGACCTTGAATATAAATCCCTTCAGCACCAGATTTACACCTAGGAACATTACAGCCATCTTTCACTGCAAATGATGGGAAGATCTGATTAGAAGACATCTACAAAAACAGATTGGTCCCTTTGGGTATATGAGAGAGAATATGTCGGAACGCATTTTTGAAAGCTCATTCCTGCCTCTCCTGTTCATCCATACACTGCCTCGTTATAATAGTTGTGTTGCATCAGAAGTACCGTATTACAGCCAGACCTAGTGGAATATAAGCAAATTCTATTATGACAGACATATGAAACCAGAGCGCACATATCTCAGGATTTATTACTGTCCATTTCAAAGAAAACAATGATTTGGACGTCGGAGTGAGGGAGAAAGCTACTGCATTGAGACGTAATTTATATGAAAATATAATGCTTTGCCATCTCTGGTTTCGGTGCATTATTACACAAAAGACAGGGGAAAAAAAACAGTGCCTTTAGGACAAGGATCATCTTGTAGAAGTGCAATGTGTATTTCTGGGAAGTAGCCTAAAGTCGGTTGTAGTTTGTGAGCGTGGAGAAATAGTTCTTCAAATACATTGACAAAGGCTACTTTATCTCAAGACATTTATGACTATATCTACTTCAAGGTAGCAAAGAAATGATGCAGAGACTGTTTCAGCCAGAACATAACAGGGTAACAGTCTTAGCTATTTGAGCTAAGCTAAGCTAAGCTAACTTAGCTCTGAGGTTTTTGGACTTTGTGTCTCTTTGTCTTTATAGTAATCTGTGTTTATATACGCTAAATCATTTGGAGGACATTTTAAACAATTTACATAAACTCTAATAGCAAAAACATTAGCAGCAGTCTCGATTCCTCGAAGAAAGCAGTTGCTGATGGTCGACAGAAGATCTAATGAAAAAGGTTAGACCCTGAAGCCTGTCTATCTTTATATACATACTTTAAAAATTTGCTTTAGACGTAACAGGTATCATTTTGGCATTTCCGAACGAATAGTGATGATAGTATGTATTTATTAGACTTGCATAAGAATGCATCACATCAAGCGCCTAATTCTGAGCTCGTGTTTGCAGATGCTAGAGACTGATTCAGGAGAAAACTCTTGCACTTACAACAAAAATATGACGTTTCACAAGAATTCAGAAGCTCAATAATTGAAAACTCGTTCCCAATACCTTAATCTCACTACAGCTAACACTAACCAAGCCACCCTCCCCCCCAAGTCAATGCTGTTTGGAGTGCAGTATAAAGATGACAGACCCTCCAGAGTCCACTGTTTAATGTCAGAAGATAGAGCTGCCTCTGTAGAAATGGGCCACAGAAAGCTACGTCGGACAAGGCGAGAATCGTGTTTCGTTCTACCAAATGTATCCGCCGTCATCTACCTCCCCCACCTCCCCTTCCTCCTCCTCAGCCTCCTCGCCATTCTCCTCCGCCTCCTTTTCCTCTTCATCTTCCCATCCGAGCCCGCTGCCAAAATCGCCCGAGTATGTGACCACCTCGTCTGGAAAAGGGAAATTTGTTTATGGTTTAAAAATCGCAAGCGATTTATGTGTGACAAAGGCTAAATAATACGCGCTCGGCACGGGGACAATAAACAAACAGCAGGTGTGACTTTGACGTTGGGCTTTTTAATCGCTATTTCATGTCCAGTCTGGGGATTTGTTCTTATCACCTGTAGGTCCGTCGCAGCCAGTAGTAATTAATCTTATGGACCTTTATTTTCGGCGAGACAACTGCTCTTTTGGAATGGAAATGAACCTGGCCTAATGAATGTAGCACTTGGTCTTCTGTCAGATGGGTGACTGATGATTTTGTGGATCGAAGCCCTAAACCCTGTAGCTACAGAAGGAGCATTGTCCTCTGTGTGTGCGTGTGTGTGTGTGTGTGTGCGTGTTGTGCTCGTGCTCACCACAGTCGGGGTTGCCATGGATTCTGGAGCCCATTAACTCTCCTCCATGCTGGTCCACACACCAGCACTCCCCTCTGCTCTTGTCACACTGCAGTCTCCTGTAAAAGCCGTCCTCATCACAGCTGGGAATGTATGTATCTGAAATGACAAGTAGAGAGAGAAACACACAGACACACACATTTTGAGAAACACAATGCATGTTTTACATTCATGTCCTATATAAAATGAGTGTTGCATCACGGGTGACATTGAAAACTAGTTTGCATATTGCTGTAAATCATGTGACAGACTCAAGTGACATAAAATGTAACCTTGGCGAGGGTTGAGGGCTGGGTTTCTGTCTGCAGTGTCTCGAATTATGATGTGCGATAAAAACCAACTGCATGGAGTAATAAACACCTATATGTCCACATAATCATCATGATCTATTTAGCAATGAAATGCAGGTTTTAACCCTCTGATGCACTGTGTACTAGGGGACAAATCTTTAAAAGCCAGTTTTAACCATTCAGAATGTGATGTTACATCCCAACCACCACCACACGTGATTCCATTGACCCTTACCCATAATTCAACCTGACTGTCCTATTTATGTCTTTGCGTGCTTTTTATTTATGAGAACATAAATTAAACATAGCTGGCAAAAGTGATGACCATGTACTTCGGAATGCAACTCTCAAAAAATAGCACTTAAAATAACTATATATACACAGTATATATACTGTATATATATCAATATATATGGACAGATGAAATGGACAGATGTACAGTTCTCCCAAAATATGCAATTAATAAAAGACAGAAAATTATGATATTTCTGTTTTAAAAAGAATATATTAAGTAAAAATAAAAAAATTTCATTGATTTAACTATTTATGCATTCTATGGTTAAACACAGGTGTCGCTTTCTAGGGTAGGTTTTTCCATTACACATTTTTATGACTGTCATCTTTTCTATTTATGAAAACTCACATTCATCATGGCTGAGAAAGGTGGAAATTATGATCCTCTGGAATATTATGTTATTTTGGAATGCACAAATGTGTAACTCTCTTAATATGTAATCTATCATATAAAGAAAAGGGATTTGTATTATAGGTTTATATATTATATCCCTGTTTTGACAAAAAAAAAAAAAACATTAAGATATATTTCCCTTTGCAATTTTATAACAAATGTATCTAAGAGTAAACATGGGTTAATCTTTCAGATTAACAATGAAACTCTTTATTTGTATTATATACATTGCTATTTGTTCTCCGGCTTTGGGAGCCGCTTGCATTTTGGCTGCCTCTGATAGGCTGAAGCATCTGCAGCGTGTCCTTGGAGAGTCCTGAGAGCGCTGCAGCCAAACATGCAGCACTGCCCGCAGTCATGAGCGCCGTTCTAAGCCGCACACCTGATTAGGGGCTAATCCCAGCCTTGTGCTTGTCATCTGTTAAATGAAACTCCTCTAGAGTCACTTCTGCTAGAGCCGCCCTCTTTGTCTTTCAGAGTTTACACCTTACCTCTCTTCTGCCTCACTTTTTCTTTTTACTGACCTTCTTTCTTCCATTCTCTTTTCTTCCAGTTGTATACATTTTATATAACCTCTTTCTCTGGTTCTCCCTTTGTTCTTCTCCTTCAGACCTTAATTTGCTCTTCCCAAGATAGTACAGTGAGTCTAAGCGGAGCGTTCATTCTTACCTGATTTCTTCTTGGCTCCTTCTTGCACTTGGATTCGCTCTAGCTCAGCCAGACAGGGAGGCTCTGTGGAAGAAAAACAATCAGTGCCTTTAGGGAAGAGTCGGCGCTAATCTCCTCCAGACAAACGCTTCACACGAGCTCCCCCACCAACTCCCAGATGAAGCGGCATTACACCAGGGCTGCTCTCCATGCAGCTGCACAATCAAATCATACTATCACACCCAAATACACATGCATTTTAAAAGTGGCACAATAGACAGACTAATCTCTAGTTTTATGGCAATATAATCATTAAATTTTGAGTAATAGAACTTGCTTTGAATATGTTTTGAACAAAATTAACACCTGTTAATAGAATATTTATATATTGCAATTTTCTCTTTAATGCCCTGAGGTGAAATGTACAACATTCTTCCAATAATTTAGAGGAATGTTTTTCACAAAAATGAAAATTCTGTCAGGACCACTATCGTCAAAGATGATTGACAATTAGCATACAGTTTGGATTGGTGGTATGGTTCTGTTCTGGGCAAGAACTCCCTGCGCATCCATGCAGCCTAGCATGGATGAGAGCAGGGAGAGCAGCAATAACCCCCCAGGGTAAACAGAACAGAACCAACATAAATGTATTGCAGATATTGTTAAAGTTCAATCATTTTATGTACACATTTTAGAATTAGTCTGATTCAAAGGAGAATCAGAAGGCTAAATCCTGACTGACAGAGGAGGAGTTGGGGATGGAGAAGGGTAATTAGCTATTGAGCAATGCGAAAACTGCTGATAATACTGAGGGACCGTATATATGAATGCTTAGATGGGTGTCGTATTCCCATAGGTAGATGGGGATCAGCTGAGAGTCAGCTGATGCGAGTTTGACTAACCTGACCTGCCAGAATTAATGCTCCGCTTGATTTCCGTCATCATTTACTCACCCTCAAGCTATACAAAACCAAAATGACTTTCTTCTGAGGAACACAAAAGCAGTTGGCATAATGTCAAAGCTGCTCTTAATTTAATGAAAGTAAATGGTGACCACAGCTATCAAGTAGGAACCAATATGCCCAATAATTCAGAATAATATTTCTTTTTTAGGTATCCTCTTTAGACAGAGATTCTTTCAGAGCAGATTGCTCTACAGAACTACTGATTTTTCTTTATTCACCATGCATGAAAATATTGTTAATGCATTGTTGAATGTTCATCAATGTAGATTATTGTGCTGTTAATATCTACTCTGTTTCTCTGATATTCTGTGCGGTAGTTCACAACAGTGACAGAAATTCCTTTAAGAGGCACTATTTGCCTAAATTGATTTCCTGGGGCATTTTTACCTTTATAAGGGTGTTTTTTTGGTAATCTTATTAAAACGTTTTAACCTATATTTTCTAACCTTATTACACTATAGTCTTTTTGTTTCAAGATGGCGCCGCGCATGGCTGCCACGGTGTGGAGCTCTCCCATTCTTTTGCTGTTTTTGTTTGTTTGTTCTGTGTTTAGTCATTCCTTTACTGTCAGTTTTACCAGAGACAAACTACTGGACGTAAGGCAACACACACCAGACAAAATTTTTCCAGTTTTTTCCAGCTTTGTTGGATGTCCTAGTCGGAGGGGCAGTGGTCCTGTTCAAACGCACGCTTAGACGGAAACGAGGGAAGCTAGCCGGCGCATTGGTTAAGCTCCGCGAGCGCAGCTTCCGAACAGCACTTCCTAGTATCCATCTAGCGAATCTCCGATCCCTTCCTAACAAAACGTATGAACTACTTCTCCTCACCCGCACAAACAAGGACTTTCAAATTCTGCTGCATTGTGCTTCACTGAAACCCGGCTGAGTGAAGCCATTCCGGATAACGCACTTCATCTGCAGGGCTTCCAGCTGTTCAGAGCGGATCGCATCACGGAGTTAACGGGGAAAACAAAAGGCAGTGGACTATGTTTCTACATAAATGAAGGTTGGTGTTCAGACGTAACAACAATGAAGAAGATGTGCTCTCCTAACTTAGAGCCGCTCTTCATAAACTGTAAACCTTTCTACTCGCCGCAAGAGTTTTCCTCATTCATTATCGTGAATGTGTACGCTCCTCCGGACACGTGTGTGAGCGCAGCGCTGCAACAGCTGGCTGAACAAATAACTGAAATGGAGCAACAGTACCCGGACTCTCTTTTAATCATTCTTGCAGATTTTAATAAAGCAAATCTATCCCGTGAACTGCCAAAATACAGACAGCATGTTACATGTCCTACCAGAGACAGTAATATACTGGATTACTGTTACACCACAATAAAGGATGCATATCACTCTGTCCCACGGGCAGCTTTGGGATCACTGCCTAGTTCATCTTATACCGACCTACAGGCAGAAGCTGAAATCAGTTAAACCTGTACAAAGGACTGTAAAGAGATGGACATAGCCTGCTTCGACTGCACTGATTGGAGTGTTTTTGAAGCTGCAGCCACCGATCTGGACAAGCTCACAGAGACTGTAACTTCATATATCAGTTTCTGTGAGGATATGTGTGTAAGGGTGGTTTCCCTACAGTGGTTCAGGCTGTAGGATTGCCGAAAGACTAAAGAAACGTTATCAGCACGATGGTATGAAACTGTACATTTCTTGTCTATTACCACCCACTGCCACTTATAACAACAACGGAAATAAGCACAGTTAGAATAGCTAAATATGTGGGAGAGCGTTGCTATTGAGTGACTATATTGGATTGCAATAGGTAGCACTTCAAAGTTAATGATGAATCAAGACTAGTTAACACATAATTTATAATTGAAATGGTTTAATAACAGTATTTTGTTATGGTTACACTTGAATAATCAGACTGACAAAAGAGATCAGAGTGGCAAACAAAACCTACTCTGAAAAGCTGAAAAAACAATTTCCAGCCAACGACCCGGCGTCAGTATGGACTGGTCTGAGGAACATCACTAAGTACAAGACACCCCCACAGTCTGTGGAGAATCAACAACTGGCTGACGATCTGAATGTGTTCTACTGCCAGTTTGAAAAGCCCAGTCTACCACCTCACACCCGCTCTGATCTGCACTTCACACATTCACCCACCCCCCCTTTCTGCCTCTTCCACCATTCAACCTGCGCTTAATGTCTGTGTAGAGGATGTGAACCGGGTCTTCAGAAAGCCGAAGACTAAGAAAGCTTCAGGCCCAGATGGTGTTTCACCTGCCTGTCTAAAGGTCTGCGCTGACCAACTGGGCCCCATCTTTACACAGATCTTCAACAGATCATTGGAGCTGTGTGAAGTTCCCTGCTGCTTCAAATGCTCCACCATCATCCTGGTCCCCAAAAAAACTTAATGATAATAGACCTGTCGCTCTCACGTCTGTGGTCATGAAGTCATTTGAGAGACTGGTCCTGGCCTACCTGAAGGACATCACTAGACCCTTGCTGGATCCTCTTCAGTTTGCCTACAGAGCAAACAGGTCTGTGGATGATGCAGTCAAAATGGGACTGCATTACATCCTGCAACACCTCGACAGACCTGGGAATTATGCAAGGATCTTATTTGTGGACTTCGGTTCAGCCTTCAATACCATCATGCATGACCTTCTCTCAGCCAAACTGTCCCAGCTCTCCGTGCCCACCCCAATCTGTTAGTGGATCACCAGCTTCCTGACAGACAGGCAGCCGCTAGTGAGGCTGGGCAAACTCACATCCAGGTCCCTCACTATCAGCACTGGTGCCCCCCAGGGTTGTGTTCTCTCCCCACTGCTCTTCTCCCTGTACACTAACGACTGCACCGCTAAAGACCCCTCTGTCAAGCTCAAAGTTTGCGGACGACACTACGGTCATCGGCCTCATCAAGGACGGAGACGAGTCTGCTTACAGACAGGAGGTTAAAGAGCTGGCTGCCTGGTCCAGTTATAACAACCTGGAGCTCAACACACTCAAAACAGTGGAGTCATACAGTCATAAATCATACAGACCACTTTAATGGTCCTTTTTGAAGCTTGACATCTCTAGTTCCCATTTGCTTCCATTGTATGGAAAAGAGCAGCTTGGGCATTATCCTAAACATCTTCTTTTGTATTCCACATAGGGAAGAAAGTCAAACAGGTTTGGGAATGACATGAAGGTTAGTAAATGATGACAGAGTGTTTCCTTTAATAAATAAATCAGTGCAGTGCACATACTGGAATATTCGCCAATGCTTCAACACTATCATGTTTCACAGCTGTATGTGAGGGCCGGACAGGTCAAGTCTAAAAAATGCAGCGGGTTTCTGTCTGACTGCCCGTCTGGTTTTAGTCCCAGAGAGTTTGAGGCTGAGCATGCTGTCAACAACCAACACTGATGTTGTTTTTCCCTCTGCAATGGCCATTTCCTATCCACCAGGGGAAATACAAGGGGAAGACAAAGTGTGACAGGCCAAAAGCAACTGTGCCCTACCCAGGAGAGATGAGAGTGCCCAGCTACATATTGTGAGCAGAATCACATCAAACAAGAACCAGGCTGGTCTAGTGTGTGTGTATGTGTGTGTGTTAAGATACTGCTAAGATACAGCTCTGTGCCCCTCCAGTGCAATGCACAATGGAGCATATGTCTGTTTGAGTCAAGAAACTTGCCATGCTCCATTGTTTAAGTAAACACACACACACACACACACACACTCAAAGGAATTCCTCAAACAAAAGAATTGTTTAAGTAAACACACACACACACACACTCAAAGGAATTCCTCAAACAAAAGAACACACTTATGAGTCTCATTAATATGTACAGCATGTTGCCGATAAACACATGCACATGCAAACAGACCTACACTCTCCCCCGCTGACACACACACACACACACACACACATACAGACTGTCAGTCACCCTAGCAAAACACACAATGAATAGCAATTCCTCCAGACTTATGCATCTCATCAAAATGAATACTCTAAATCACTCTCACCACATGCCACAAACAGCTAAAGGTCAATTTACATAATCTCCAGCTCTCCCATCTCTCATTTTCCATCCAAAGGGGGTGTTTGTAGAGGAAATGAAATATTTGGATTACAATAATCCAAACATACGGTCCCCCCTCCCCCATTTAATGTTTGATTATATTTTAAAAAACCAATTAAACTTAATCAAGTGCAAACTGAATGAGTTAGTGACATGAGTCTGCAGAACTCTCTGCACACAGATGGATTTTTTTAAAGCCCTGCCTCCACCGACTGGTGTTTTCTTTATCTTTACCGCCCGTCCAGTGCGTGCTGATGTAAAATAAATGCGCTCTGCTACCAGTCGAGTCTTTGCATGCAATTTCGTCTTCTGGGCTTTTGTAATGGAAACCAAATATGCCCCTCAACTCCAATTTAAACATAATTTAAGATTTGAAAGCCCCAACTCACTGAAGCATTGTTCAACACGCTCAAACAAGGACTAGTGCTGGCACTGATGTTCGGCCATGTGTCTCCCTTCTGTCACTCTGATATAACCAAGCAGAGTAAACTGTGGATCGTGGCACTGACCAGCAGGGTGCAGGGCACAAATGTGCAATGCTGAGGCAACGATCCCGGTTAGAGCTGATTTTAAATCTGAAATGTGTAATGTTTTCAATGTCAAAATATTTGCTTCTTTCCAGTGTTACATTTTTGAGTTTTTACCTTTGGATGAAAATATTCTGTCAATTTAGTCAACATTCTGTCAATTTAGTCAACATTTAGTCATCTAATTTTAGTCAGGGTTGACACTATTGATTAGGATTTGAAACTAACATATTTCTAGATTTTCTGTAAATATACTGTATGTATTGCATTTATAATATTTTGTTTTTTTCCCATATATTTTTATCAACAGTATGTTTTACCGTTTTTTTCAATTGCTAACATCCTTTTGTCCAATCTCTAGTCACATTTTCAAAACTCTAAACACAATTAGCACAACATCCATCTGTTGTGACCATACCATTAACACAATTCATGTTGTTTTCACACAATATGCAGTCAATTACCATGTTTCTAAAATGCTTATATCTTCTTTTCATACAAGCTTACCCAAAACCAAAATCATGGATGCTTTTAGTCTTATTTACAAATGCTTAAACACAGATTGTCAGAAATGAAGACCTAATGTTCCGAACCTTAAATATAGTATAAAGCTTCTACCTTTGCAACAACAGCAGCTCAAAGGTATTGAAAAAATCTCTCTGTATAAAATATTGTAACAACTGATAAGCATTTTTAAGTAACAGATCACTGACATATTTAGAAATAGCTGATTCCAGGCTCAGCTGGAGGAATAGTCTGGTGTTGAAGCTCTTTCCATTACATCAACAACATAGAGTAAAAAAGACCTCTTTGAATTGGTTTTGTGGATGCAGAAAAACACAGAATTACAGAGAGAGAAACAAATAATGCCTGGGAGAGGGAAAGGAATAGTTGTAGGAGGTAGAGAAGTAGTTGGATCAGAAAAAAGGGAGAACAGGTATGGGAGAGAAGTGAGAATGTGTGTTGGACTGTGCATTTTTTGTTTGTTTGTTTTTTCCCACATGTGGAACCTATGAAAGCTTATTTCTGCCATGGAATATAAATGGTAAGGGTAATTGTGACTTTATCTCAGAATTCTGACTTTTTTCTTGCAATTGTGAATTTACAGTATCTCACAATTCTGATAAATTCTGAATTGCAAGACGTAACCTTGCAATTCCAATAATAGAAGTCCGAATTATGAGATATAAGGTCACAGTTTCTTTTTTTACTTTTTTATTCTGTGAAGGAAACAAGCTTGCATAGTAAGCAAAGGCCATGTATGCTGGAATTTTTGTTGATCACTGGCATCAGCTACCATGGAGGCACCATCCACATCCAACCCCCACCCACTGGAAAGCAATTTAAATCAAGGCTCCAATAGAATTTCTGCATAGGGGACCCTATTTTTTTTCTATTGTACATTCTGTAAAGTAATGACTCATTCAGTTTTAGATAGTATTTTGCCAAGAATGAACACATTCAACACTTACAAATGTAAAATGGGTTTCAGTTGAAGGTAAACTGAAGGCTAAATTACAAAAAAACTATGGATTTTTATATTGTCATTTTATGCAGGTAGAACTGACACATAACAAGTAATGCAGTTTTTGTAAAGCCATCAACTGTTAGTATTTTGACAGTCACTGTGCTATGATTGACTATATGTTTCTGTTGGATAGAAACTAGTGCTAATGTTTTGACCGAATGACTCGATTTTGAATCGGGTTTGCTGTGTTTTGATAGAGTTAGTATATGTAGAAAAATGTATTCAGCATTTTGAAATGTAGAGTTTGTATTTATTTAACAAAATGCGGTTTTGGCCAGAAAATTTACTATTTGGCTAATTGTGTGATGTAGGTGTGTTGCTGTGTTAAGAGTTTAGAAAAAGTACTTTACGTATTGGCAAATGCTTGTTAGCAATTGAAAAAAAACCTGTAATTAAAATTGGTTAATTATCATCATGATGCAAATTTTTAAAAGGACATGTTTTTTTTTAAGAAAGTAATTTTATTCACAAAGGACACATTAAATTTATCAAAAGTCACAGTAGAGTACTGATAATGCAACATAAATAATGTATCTATTGTCTCTATTCAAATATATTTCAAATAAATGCAGCTCTTTTGTCAGCACAACATTGATAATAATAATAATAAATGTTTCTTGAGCACCAAATCATCATATTAGAATGATTTCTGAAGGATCATGTGATACTGAAGACTGGAGTAATGGCTGCTGAAAATTCAGCTTTGCCATCATAGAAATAAATTTGAAAATATATTCAAATAGAAAACAGTTATTTTACCTTCTAATAATATTTCACAACATTACTGTTCTTATTTTTACATAAGAGACTTATTTTAAAAAATGTAAAAATATTGCAAATCCTAAATATTTCAGTGGTTGAGTGCTGAATATTTGGTAGTATATAGAATATTTCTTTATGTTATTATAAGAAGTCATAAAAGCCTGGTTCAATTGTGTAGAGATACTAAAAACTCACTTTCTCTCCAAAAGCAGAGGCACCACTCGGCTGTGGAGACTTTGCCATCGTGGTAGGAGTCACAGGAGTTGAAGAAGGGCCGTATGCACACTTCATACTTGTCCAGATTAATGGCAGACAGCTCAGCTTGATCCAGATACAGGTCACTGTTCGTGTCCAGCTTAGAGAACATCCAGCCAATAGAGTCCTTACAGGTCGCAACAAGAGTTCGGTCCACAACTGTGCACAAACAATCACACGGTACATGTTAACACAAGAGAAATGCTAGCTTATATACTGTAATACTTCTGCATTTTTGAACTTTTTAAACTGGTTTCTAAGAGCCATCTCTCCCAGAACCACTGATTGCATCATATTAGCTGTACAAATTTTATCAATGTCCTTTTAAAAGCAAAATTGCTGTTCAAATGTTGCTGATAAGACAGTAAATTGCTCTGATGGACAGAAGCTGTTTTCTAGACCTTTTTTATATATATATATATATTAGAAGCAAACAATATAAATGTAACAAACAAAAGAGGCATAGCTAGTTAGAGAACTGACGAGGCATTAAATGCCATTAAATGTACATTTTATATTGAAGTAGATGTAAATGGAGTGCTTAAGCATTCAGTTGCATTTCACAATTCAGCAAAACTGCTTTTTGAGTGGATAAAATGCTGCTGGTGCTCTTTGGCCATCAGGATAGGACACAATTCAAACATAATAGCTGTGAATCTGCTGGTCCTTATCAATAGTTTTACACAGCAGTTTTGTTAGTGCCAGTTACCATAGGTCCATTTTTTAAATACTAAAAAGAAAACAGCATTTGTGACATTTCTTGAAATGATACAACCAAAATAAATGAGGTTAGAGTCATTGTAAGTTGCTGTAATTTCTGAATATAAAAGCACTAGCTAAATAGATGTTAGAGCCTCACTTGATGCAGAACTGGCTACAGGATTCCCCGTGCTGTTCTGCTTGCCGTTGCCTTGGAGCAGTTGGAACCAGTCCCGCAGGCGATCTCCCAGATCTGCCAGGTCCTGCCCTGTGCAACTCTCTATGGACAGAAAAGAAGAGAGACAGAGACAGTGAAAGGAGATATGGGAGTGTTGGCAGATGTTGGTATTAAAGAGTGAAGAACCAATCGTCCTGCTTTTGCCCTTCTGAATTTGACAAGAAAAGCCTGCGGAGACTGCAGACACAAATCAGACATAATCTAAGTCAGCAGAAATTCACAAAGCAAGCAGCAGAGAAAGAAAAAGAGCTGCATAGTCTGCTGATAAATCAATAAAGCCTTTGTTAGAGCGAGAGCTGCAGACTGCTCAAGGGATGTGAAAGAGACAAATGGCATCTGAAGCAATCTCAGAATAAGACCATTCATTATTATCATCAAAATATGATCCTATAAACTTAAAAGCAGGACCTTCTATTGTGCTTCATTCAATACAGACGGTGCTTCTTTATAAGAGTATCTTAAAGAGAGAGTTCATCTAAAAATGAACATTCTGTCATCACTCAGACCTCAGACCTTTATGGCTTAATTTCTTTTGTGGAACACAAATTATATATTGAAGAATATTTCAACTGTTCAATTTGTTTTTGTCTAAGTTAATAGTTTACCCCAAATTTACTCACCCTCAGGCCATCCAAAATATAGATGACTTTGTTTCTTCATCAGGAACAGATTTGGAGATATATGCTCACCAAATGATCCTCTGCAGTGAATGAGTGCCATCAGAATGAGAGTTCAAACTGCTGATAAAAACATTGCAATAATCCACAAGACTCCAGTCCATCAATTATTGCCTTGTGAACCGAAAATCTGCGTGTTTGTAAGAAACAAATTCATCATAAAGACGTTTTTAACTTCAAATAATTTTTTCCAGATAAAATATGAGCTCTCTGTCCATAACACTGCTTTCTCCACTGAAAAAGTCATCTTGTCTAAATCAAGAGAGAAATATGCACAGATCAAGCACCATTTACAAGCAAAAACAACCTAAACAGCTCTAAACAAATATGTTGGTAGATTTTGATGTGAGAGGCCAACAGGGGATGGACTTTTTCACTGAAGGAAGTGTTATTATGGACTATGGACGCCTTAATAATGGATATGTTTCTAACAAACACGCAGCTTTCACTTCACAAGACATTAACTGATGGATTGGAGACGCGTGGATTACTTTTGTGGATTATTGTGATGTTTTTATCAGCTGTTTTCATGTTTTAGCACCCATTCAGTGCAGAGGATCCACTGGTGAGCAAGTGATGTAATGCTAAATTTCTCCAAATCTGTTATGAAGACTGATTTTGGATGGCCTGAGGGTGATTAATTTTATAGCAAATTTTCATTTTTGGGTGAACTATTCCTTTAATGGGGTCCAAAGCAACTGAACTTTTTAAAAATAACTTATGTTGTGTTCCACAAAAAAAGTCATACTGGTCTGGAATGACACAAGGTCGAGTAAATTATTTTTGGTGAAACTATCCCTTTAACAAGCTTTGCTAGACCAAATTGCAGTTTTTGGAAGTGTGTGACAGGTAAATACCTTGTTTGCTGTCCACGTCTGTAGCAGGAGCCACGGTGGCAGTACAGGGGCAGAGACCAGCACATCTTACTTTCAACTCCTTTCCTGTGAGACAAGCCTGCTGCTCCAGTTTGCACTAAATTCAGGTGCAACACACACACAACACAACACAGGAAGAATAAGCAGCGCCACCATAACACTTGTCCAGTGTCACATGCTTCAGTTCAGTGGCATGAATTGTAACCCCAGATAAAGCATAATTATTTCTACAGACGAGTGAAAATCGCTGGTTCAAACAAGACATCTCCATTAAAAGAAGCTGATGTCAACCTTCATTTCTTCCCTCACAAGGTCAGAAATAGATATAATAGAGATAATTCATAATTCAACAGAACGGTTCTTTCATCCCCAAGTACTCAGAATCCCTTCAGACATTTCTTCTTTGACTTTTAAGGACGTCAAGGGCTAGACTACAAAGTATACTAGAGACCATTACACATACTGCGCAAGCAGATTGACCCACGAGTCACACAGAAAATAACAGATATGAAAAATATGTTTTTTGAATGGCACAGAATAACAAACATAGAAATAATAATGTCATGATGCATTCATTGTCCAAAACCATGCAAGCAGAAGATAGTGAAAGGATTATGGATTTTCTCTTCAGGTTTGTTGACAGGACCATGGATCGTGGAACGTACCAAAAGAAGGGGGGGCCCGGGGGTGGTTTTTTGCTGAACTTCGCACACTGGATGAAACGCGGCATTATAATCAGGGCTGGGGAGTAACGAAATACATGTAACGGCGTTACGTATTTAAAATACAAAATATGAGTAACTGTATTTCGTTATAATTACATTTTAAATAAGGGGTAATCAAATTACAGTTACATCAGAAAAGTATTTTAGATTACCAAATTGATTACTTTGAATTTTAATGTAATTTCTTAATTTAATATTTAAGTAAACTAAACAGTTTGGGGATTTTAACCAATAAGGCAACTGATTCTCCGTTGAAACAAAAAAACTGCGTGCAGCAGCCTGTTCATTTAGCAACTCGTAGTGAGAGCAGTGTTGCCAGATTGGGCAGTTTTGAATTTGATTGTGCGGGTAAAAATTGGCTTGGGCGGGTGGACAAAATTTGGGCTGGTTTGGGGTCAGTTTGGCGGTTTTCAAACATATAAATTGCATAGGCTAATTGATGAATAAAACAAGCCCAAGTATGTATACTGCATCCAATCAGTCATCATAACGTTACTACACACACGCTGCAGAGGCGCTGGTGCTGATGAAAACGTTGAAAGCCGCACTTATCACGAGGGCTCAGCAGACAGTCGGCGACAGGCCAGTGTAACTTTGACCCGGTGAGTGCTGCGCTGCCACGCCCACCTCGGGACTCGCCCTCCAGCCGGTGGTGGAGGCATCAGTGTAAACCACAGCATGCCTGGAGGCCTGTTCTAGGGGCACTCCCGTCCAAATTACTTTGAATTTTAATGTCATTTCTTAATTTCTTATTTAAGTAAACAGTTTGGAGATTTTAACCAATAAGGCAACTGATTCTCGCTTGAAACAAAAAAACTGCGTGCAGCAGCCTGTTCATTTAGCAACTCGTAGTGAGAGCAGTGTTGCCAGATTGGGCAGTTTTGAATTTGATTGTGCGGGTAAAAATTGGCTTGGGCGGGTGGACAAAATTTGGGCTGGTTTGGGGTCAGTTTGGCGGTTTTCAAACATATAAATTGCATAGGCTAATTGATTAATAAAACAAGCCCAAGTATGTATACTGCATCCAATCAGTCATCATAACGTTACTACACACACGCTGCAGAGGCGCTGGTGCTGATGAAAACGTTGAACTTAATTTAATATTTAAGTAAACTAAACAGTTTGGGGATTTTAACCAATAAGGCAACTGATTCTCCGTTGAAACAAAAAAACTGCGTGCAGCAGCCTGTTCATTTAGCAACTCGTAGTGAGAGCAGTGTTGCCAGATTGGGCAGTTTTGAATTTGATTGTGCGGGTAAAAATTGGCTTGGGCGGGTGGACAAAATTTGGGCTGGTTTGGGGTCAGTTTGGCGGTTTTCAAACATATAAATTGCATAGGCTAATTGATGAATAAAACAAGCCCAAGTATGTATACTGCATCCAATCAGTCATCATAACGTTACTACACACAC